ACTATTTGCCTCTACTGGGGATAGGTTTTTAACCTCCCAGCAGCAGAGTTTGTAGGGCAGCATTTGAAAGAAGGAAAGTGTTTTGTGGATTAGGAAGACTGGCAGAAATGTGGGCTGATTTCCCAGGGTTCAGAAAACTTGGAAAATTAACTCTCTCTCTCTGTGCACGCACATGTGTCTAATAGATATGTGACAAGTTCCGGGTGTGAGAAATTGCAATTTCAGGACTTGGCTGTTTTGGATGAATCTCTATGTGCCAGGCTGGAAACACTGAGAATGGTGGGAAGGCAGGCTGAGTCCAAGGGGTCATTTACATGGCATTTTTTTTAGTGAAACAATGCAAACCATCTCACGTATTCCAGGTTTGTTATTCACACTATGGAACCGCATCGCACTTCTATGAGTTCGGTTGCTTACATGCGCAAGCATTCGAATAAAGATGGAGTCGACGATGCAAATGCATTCAGAACCCCCTTTTTGGTATGCAGCATTTTATCCTGGGTTTATTCAGGTCTAGTCGCATCAATTATTCACACTGCCAACAATGTGGATCTTTTTAAAAAAGTCGGGCCCCGTTCACACTAAAAATAATCTGGGATGAATCCTTGTTTTTTACACACATCCCAAGTGTATTCGATACACTTTGGGGTTGGCAAAAAACCCACTTAACGTGGGATATTCAATACTGGGATTTTTCCCGAGTTTCCCTGAAAGATCTGCATTGATCCACATCTTTGGCAGTAGGAATAAGCTTCTAAATTGATTTCGATCGCTCTGTTTCATTTAAGGGAACGGAGGCAGCTCCATTTTATCCTGAAACGATGGCATGTGTGAATAATAAAAGGGTTACAATGACTCGAAGAGATTTGCAAACCCAAAACAAAATGGGAAAAACAAACCCAATCTGCATCGGCGCGGCAATCCGCATCTCCTTGGGACAAAAAAATGAGTGTGAGTGCCCTCTGGAAAAACCTGATATCGACTATCCCAGATTAAGTGGGTTTTTTGGCAGCTCCCATCCAAACTTTATTGGATGCATGTGGGATGTGTGTGAACAATGGAGATTTAACCCAGATTCATCCTGAATTATTTTCACAATGTGAATAACCCCAAAGCAATTTTTTGGGGGAGCTTAATGTTGGAATGCAGCTTCCTTTAAAGATGTTTATATTTCTGAATTTAAATTTTTTGTTAAAGTTTGATGATTACAAAAGACGATTTGTTTACATTATTGTTCTCCTTTTTTGTCATTTTTGTAATAATCAAACTTTAATGAGAGAGAGACTCATACTCATTTCTAGTGGCTCAAAACCCTCTGTATTCACCTGCATGGAATAATCTAATCTAATCTAATCTAAAGAAATACTCTTTTCAGTGAAGGTAATTTTGTTTTTACTAGAATGAACTGCATGTCTGGAAGAGGAAAGATGGAGTCCCCTACATATGTTTACATGATTAAGGCTGCGTTCCCACTGCAGAAATAATCCAGATTGAAGCCACTTGAACTACCATGCTCAATGCTATAGAATTCAGGGAACTGTAGTTTAGTGAGCTACTTTGCCTTCTGTGCCAGAGAGCTCTGTTGCCCCACCAAACTACAATTCCCAGAATTCCACAGCATTGAGCCATGGCAGCTCAAACGGTGTCAAACTGGATCATTTCTGCTGTGTGGATGCAGCGCAAGTGTCAAATCCTCCATCTGAAGGTCTGTCTAGATCCAAATCCAGTTTGTATATCTGTCAAGTAAATTGAGACACTCTCACCACAGTGAGAAAACATTTTTGGGGTGGGTAGGTATGGATACATACTTTAATTAAATTACAAGAGGATGGGGGGGATCTTGATATTAAGATTTTTAAATTTAAATTTTTATTAAAGTTTGACTATTACAAAAAGAAAGGCAATGGTTATGCCTTTCCCCTGTTTGCTTGTGTTATTTTTGCTGTTTATGTTACAGTCTTTCTTTTCTTCGTTTTGTCTTTTTTTGGTAATAATGAAATAATCAGGAGAGAGGAAGCGCTGGTGCCAGAACATACTACAGTTCCCAGAATTCCATAGCACTGAGTCACGGCATTTAAAGTGGCGTCAAACTGGATTATCTCTGCAGTGCAGATGCAGCCTAATAGAGTAAAAGACTTGAATACAGTTCTCCAGTTAAGGACATGATGCAAATGTGGAAAAGGGGTTTTTTCTCTGCAATTTCTAGCTGCACCAGCAAGCAGCAGCACTGCTTCACAGGAGACATATCCCCCTCTCCTCATCTGTCCCCAATTGGGAAGACTGGAAAAACTAATGTTGTATATATATATATATATATAT